AACTGAGAAGTGGGATGGATCAGCTGCAAATGGAAGTAGACACTGTGAAGACACTGTTCTTGCAACATCTTCGTAGGGAGAAGGGGTCAATGGAGAGTTCATTTCGTGCGCCATCTTCATCAAGCCAAAGTGCTACACGGGTTTGACAAAAGGTAAGTAAAAAAGTCTGCCTCTGGAATGTTTGCAAGCTCATAACCTGTTGCATGTATTCCATGCTAACACAAAAAGTCAGCCTCCTTTTCTTTATTTGGTTCCTTTCTGTCATTGAGAATGTGACAGTATTCCTATCCCCTTTGACATTCTAGTCCAATTTAGTTCATTTCTTAGTCAAGCAGGTTGGGTTATAGCTATATATAGAGTAACTAATTAATTAGTGAAGTGATTACTTATATATTTGAATTTGTTGTCTTGTTATTATTTTTCCAGCTCCAGGAAGAGACAGAAAGTCCCCTCTAACTACAACAGATGCACCAAGTGAGTCATATCATATACTCATATAGATGATGTAATTTGATTTTGAGTTGTACATGTAAATTGATTTTAAGCTATATGTTTTGGTTGCCTTTAAAACAGGATAAAGAAGATCACTGTTGGTGATTCAGAAGAAAGTCAAAGTTCAATATTATGGATTTAGTTGGAACTTTATCTTTGTTAAAGTGTACTTTGGTAGTAATGTGTAGTAATATTGTGTACTTTGGAAGTTAGCATTGTGTGGCATGGATAATGGGGAATGTAGACTTTGAAGGTACTTTGCAGGGGTTCTAGAAATTTATGAAAAATTTGAAATGTTTCAGCAGGTTGTAGTAATGGGCTAAAAAGCGTCGCTAAAAATATTCTGAAAAGTGTCGCTAAAATTCGTCGCTAAAAAGTAGACCAATTGCGACAGATTCGTATCTAATGGCACAAAAGTAGACCAATTGGGACAGAAAAACCGCTGCAAGAAAACCGTCGCAAGTCCATTTACTGCGGTTAGGCTGACCCCTGCCATTACTTTGCGACGGTTGTTCTTGCGACGGTTTTGCAGGGGTAATAAAAACCGCTGCCGGGCTTATTAGCGACGGTTTTTTTCGTCGCTAAAAGTGGAAAAAACCCCTGCTGTATGTATGTTATTTTGTAGTGATGGAATGGCATGCACCTCCGGAAGTACCACACAGACGCGGTCTGAGGTACCCTTTGCTCAAGCAAAGGCATTTTGAGTGGATAGAGAATGTTCTCCTCCACATGTAATAGTGTATTGGCTGCTACCAAGCACCACTTTTTCCCAAAGTAATACACTTGATTCTCTTTTCGGCCAAATTTTTATTCTTAACGGTGTCTCGTCCCCAATCCATAAAAGTGCAAGCAATCTACGCAAAGTCACATAAACCCGCTACAAAGCGAAACGAAAGCAAGAACACAAAGGTTTAACTAAAATATAGCTATGGCATAAACCCGCTCCAACGCGGCCCCAGCAAATTGTTGTCAACACAAGGGAAAGCCAAATACCCGCTCCAACGCGGTTCCAGCAAATTGTTGTCACATCATCCAAAGTACATAATAAAAAGATCCCGCAAAATATAATGTCTTAGATACATCATCATCCAACAAAAGATAGAAAAACCAGACAAAGAGTATTCGAGAACAACCTCAAACGATCGGAGAACCTCCACTGGCCGCCTCACCATCTTCGGCCTCCCCCTCGCCCCCCGCTTCATCTTCCTCGGAGTCATCCGCTTCTGAGTTAACGTTGGAGGCAGAACAGTGATCGATGGCATCCAATACGCGGTCAGTATCCCAGCCCAAGTCAGGACACTCCTCGCGGAATAGGTGACAGATGGCGGCCACCACGTTGCCGACCACTTCCTTGTACTTCGCCTTGTCTTGGGCGAGAAACTCGGCAGACTGGAGGAAGGCAAGTCCCGCCTCGGCGCGCGCCGCGGTCAACTCCGCCTCATGAGTAACTAGCAGGGAAGCCTTCTCTAACCTCAGAGCGTCCACCTCTTTGCGCAATACATCCTGCTCCTCCAGGAGGGTCTTCTCGATTTCACCAGACTTGCGAAGCGAGTCCTGGAGGCGGTCTTGCTCGGTGCTGATCGCCTTCGAGGCCTCCCTCTCATCTGATAGCTCCTTCTCCTTTCGAGCCAACCGCTCACTGAACTCCTTCTCTAGTTGAGGACGCAGCTCCTCCTCCAGCGCGGCACGACCATCCTCGAGACTCCTCTTAAGATCACAAGAGAAATCAGTTAGCGAAAATGAGTGCACCCAACAAGCTTACAAGTACGGCAGAAAACTAACCCCAAAGAAGAACTGTGAGGCGGTCCCCGCCAGTCGACGATTGCTTCCCGAGGAGATAGCAGTGTACTCGTTGGGCATAACCAGTTGCTCACTAATTGTGTGAAATGCTAACTCAGCCGCTTCCGTATCGTTGGCGGCCATTGGGGTAACATTCACCTGGCTGGGCTTGTCGGACCGCTTCACACCCTTTCCGCGCCTGTCCCCCGCCCCCGAAGGGGAGTCGCGAACCTTTGCACGCTTCGACACCGCTTCAGGCGTCTCCTGCTGCAGCAGTCTCTTCCCAGCCCCCCGTGGCACGGGAACTGTACCACCCCCGGCCGCACTGGGGGAATCAGCGTCTAAGCGAATGGGCAAAGCTGCTGGCGGATCAGTTTAAGCGACCCCCGCGGAAGAGGAGGCAGCTCCTGCCCGAGCGGCCTTGACCGCTTTCTTCCTCCTTGGCCTATTGGCGTCCGCCAACTCCCTCAACCCTGAAAAAGAAAAGCATAAGTAAATGCATGAGCAAATAAACATCGAAGTAAAAAAACTAGGCTACTAACCGTAAAAACCACGGACAAGCTGGTAGGCGTTGTCAGTGCCGCTGTGACGAACTCGCAGTTGAACCGCCCCCACAATGCGGTCAACATGGTCTCGCACCGAGTGAGGAAACAAGTTAGAGTCACACCAATCATCTTTCGACCCAACCGCATAGCGCGTAGGCGGCTCGGCATCGCCTGCATACCACTTCTAGGTCGGTCGGGCAAAGAAATACTCTTTGTACCAAGGCGAATCCAGCTTAGGCGCCCCGGTGACAAAGCCAACTGAATTCTCCCGCCTTCCGATCGACCAGCAATTGGGCGAACCTCTGATATTGTAAATCAATCTGAACGCCTCGAATGATGGCTCTTTCTTAATACGGTCGCATGCAAGACGGTACATTACAGAATGGAAGATAATCGTAGGTGAAAGCCGCCCCAGGCTGCAGTTGAGCCAATGCAAAACCATTGTCAAGATAGGGTCAAGTGGGAACCGCAGACCAAGCTTGACGTGCTCGACAAGAATCGGCACCCAGCCGCTAGGGCAAGATCCTGAACGGCTAACTTCAGAGGGAGCCACATACTGCCAATCCGAGGGCATCCGAAGCGTCTTAAGGCGGTGCAACACCTGTTCTGACTTAAAAGCCGCCCCCTAATTCTTCGGCCCTTGCTCGAACACCTCGGCCGGGATCGACTGACCATCCCACATCCCCGCATGGTGTAAAACCGTGTACACAGAGTCCTGAACAGCCACCAAGGGCGGTCTCGCGTCCCCAGACTCTGACACCTCCAAAGAGGAAGAAGTGCTAGGAGACGCCTCAGGGCGTACTTCATCACTGCTCATTTCTACGTCCTCCTCCGAAGAAAGGCTATCTAATCCTACTTGGTCAAACTCTCCCAAGTTATCCCCCACGACCGAAGATGTAGTCATAACCCCAACTGGTACAGGGCGTGTGTTAGCACAATAGTCATCTAAGTCTATACATTCCCCCACAAGACAGTTGTCTAATTCAGAGGCATTTCCAACATACAAGTCTAGGCCAGATAAATCCCACACACACTCAGATGTGTTTCAAATGGGTGAAGAGCGGTTCGTACCTTGAGAGCTGAAGGCGGGCACAGCTGCGCTGGAAGGCTTCTTCCCCATTGAAGGGACCGTTGTCGGAGCAGTCGAACTCAGGGGAACCCTATCGGCGACGATAACGGAGGGGGAAACAATGGCGGGAGCGCTCCCGCGGGACGCGACGTCGGCGACGAGGGGAGAATTCAAATCATCGCCGGCCATTTTGGAACAAAGCTGATCGCCGAAGAACGGCGCTGAGGTTCCAAAATCGGCAAGAGAAAAGGCGAAGGGAGGTAAGACACAGGCCAAACCAACGAAAGAGAAAAACCCGCGTCCACAAGGTAAGAAGAAAAGTAGGAAAATCATACTTGGAGCGTCGATCGGATTTATAGGCGCCGGCGGTGACAAGCTCTGATCACACACAGCGGAAGAAAAGGGAGGAAGAAGACGAAGAACTTCTAAAACTAGGAATATTCGGGTGGAGCAGCTCTCCCTCCCAGGCACTTATAGCGAAGAAGGGGAATTTCAAAATCCCGAAGTGACATGCCTCGAACCCCGCAAAACCCTGCGGTGACGTTCCGCCTCTCAGTGTCAGGGCTCCGCGCCTGAGGAACGACAAGTGGCAAAAGCGAAAAGACCAGGGAAACCGCCTCGGGCAAGCCCTTAGGCGACCTTCGCTTCATATTCCCGCGACCAGGGGCAAAGGGGCATAGTTCGAGAAACGACCATAAGCCGCTCTGATCGCTTATCAGGGCCTTAGCGGTCCATACCCGCTCAATGATCACGAAACGAGTCAGTTAGACGCGAGAACCTAAAGCTTCCCCCGCCTAAGGAGCAAATGTTGGGTCACACATTGAGCCACACGGCCCATAAGCCCCAAAAGCACTCAAGGCCCACAAAAGAACAAGCAAGGCCCAAAAGAGGATCAGGAACAAGGGTGGCCCAAAGGATGCTAGTACTAAGGGACCGCCCGACACGGGACAGATCTGACGTCAAGAGACCGCCCGACACTCGGGATCCTACGTACGAAGTCTGACGAAGACGTTGGGGAATCCAGAGGCGTCTCAGAGCGCCCGACATAATATTTAATGCACATAGTTCGGACGAAACTAGTATAAATACTCCTCATAGGATCACATTTATGGTAACTTCAACTACTCCATTCTCTCTCTTATTTATAATTCTCTCAATCCTCTCTCTAACTTAGGCATCAGAGGAGGTCCCAGGAACCCCCTGAGGACCTTTCTTGTAGGTTTCGAAGACCGCTCGCCGCCATTGGAAACCGCCCGAGCCCGTGGAGCTTCACCTAACCGCTTGGTACCAAGCACAAACATCCATCAACCCGGATAAAATTCGTATTAACCGGGTTGAGTCGAGTAGGATAACCGTGGGTTCGGATTTTGTTTCTATCCTTATTGTTGCCTCATCGAAAGGGTTTAGCGGGGTGATTGAGCACAAGAAAGAGCAATTTTCCAATTTGTTTTCTTTTACCTTTTTTTTCCATTCTTTCTTCTTTCTGCGGTTGCTTCATCTTCACATCTTCTCCACTCTACCTTTTCCCTTTCCTCCTTTTGTTTCACGGCGTTCTTTGATTTCTAATTTCTATAGTTAGCAGCGAATTGTCTGATCGATTTCTCTGTCTCTCTCCGCCGCGACATGATCGACTTCGCTCGAGTTCAAAAGGAGCTCCAGGAATGTACTAGAGACATCGAAGCCTCCGGCATCAAAGTTTCCCCTAAATCCGACAGTCTCGCTCGCCTCACCGGCACAATCCCTGGCCCTATTGGCACTCCTTACGAAGGCGGCTCTTTCGAAATTGACATCTCCCTTCCAGGTTTTCTCGCCTTCCCCTCTTGTTGGAAATGCTAATCGTTCCCTTCTTAAAATTTCGCTGCCATTAAGGATCTTAATGGTGCTTGCTTCGTAAATAACAATGACGATTTCACCTGTGGGTACTGGGGTTTAGACTGACTGTGGCCTTACGGGGAGCCAGAGGGTTCTCTTCAGTTTTGTGATACTGTTGAGTGGAATGAGCTTCAAAGAATGAACCTCTGCGTATAACCCCTTGACTTTTAGCTCTTATTTTGCAGATGGCTACCCATTCGAGCCTCCCAAAATGAAGTTCGTTACCAAAGTCTGGTAAGGGGCAAACTCTCTAGTCACTTATTCTCTCTGCCAACGTTGATCGTTAAGTTTGCATTGGATGGGGTGTTAATTGGTCTCGTCATGGCCAAAAAAAGTTGCTTTCTTGAAATTGTAAACTTGATCATGTACTCCTGATGGTGGATGGCTCATTATTATTGCTTTATCCCCGTTCCTGAATGTTCGATTGTTTGATTGCTGAAATTGATCAGCCTGCAGTAATCTGTGTTGAGGTTCAAGTTACCTTCTTCTCTTTAGGACATTCCCCCTCTCTCTCCACGCAGTTGATACCTGTGTTCAGTGAAATTTGACAAATGGCTGAGATTGTATCTTGCCTCCTTCTCCCTTCATTCCGTTGCTTAGCATCTATTCAGGAAGCTTTGTTTGTTTGATTAATCATGCTATGGTGCTATGATGAAGTAAACTGGTTTTCTGGTATCTCTGAACACTACTTTTGATAAGGGGTGTGAACTAGACAGGTAAAGTTGTTAATTGTTGAAGAGAATGATATGGCACTGTCTTATTCTTTGCTACACTGTGGCTGTCTTTGAAGGCACCCAAATATTAGCAGTCAGAGTGGAGCTATTTGCCTAGACATCTTGAAAGATCAATGGAGTCCAGCTCTAACTTTAATGACAGCTCTGCTTTCAGTCCAAGCACTGCTCTCTTCTCCTGAACCTGATGACCCTCAAGATGCAGTTGTAGCACAGCAGGTCATGCTCCTGACTAACGGGCAATAACTTTGCTCATTCTCATCTTTCCTGGGCTTGCTTCCGGTTCTAGGCCATCCATGTTTTAACCCTCTACTCGAATTCCTCTTATGCTGAATTAGTCTGTGGTTAAATGCAGTATCTCAAGGAATACCAGACCTTTGTTGGCACAGCTCACTACTGGACTGAAACTTTTGCTAAGGCCTCCTCACTTGGAGTTGAAGAAAAGGTACCTACATCTTCAATGATATCATCCTAGTTATTCATGGAAAATCATTGGCCTTATCAATATGGTGCTTGGTTTTTGGATTCAGGTGCAGAAACTTGTTGAAATGGGATTCCCAGAAGCATTGGTGAGGAGTACACTGGATGCTGTTGGTGGGGACGAGAACTTGGCTCTGGAAAGGCTTTGCTCTTGAAGACCAAGCTTGCATATCATGGGTTGTCAACTTTTAAGTTATCACCATATATCTGGGTACGAATATCATGTATATATCTCTTAGTTTACTTTTGAATCGTGAAAAGTTCGCAACCCTTTTGTGATGGTCCATCCATTTATTGGCAACTTTCTGCAAGTAAAGATTGCCTGAACCAATTGCGTTTCTCTACCAGTTCTCAGAATGAATGAATGAATGTGCTCGCATCGTATTTACTCTGGATTCTGTTCCGCTATGTCATTATCCATTGATCAGTTTGTATCTACACGGTAGTTTCCCCAAATTATCTGTAGTAACCAGGCGGGGCTTTCGCTTTTCATGGAGCCAGTAGAGCCGTGCAAGTCCAATATTTGAAATAATGCTCTTGGTAGTAGCTTATCATTGCGTAGATTATCGCGGCATGGGAAAGTTGTTGATGGTCAAATCTAGTCATCTCTATTAGATACTTTAATGGCGTTATTAACACAGTCAATTTAGCTAACAACAAGCTGATTAGGCGCCAATTAAGTAGACATGTAAGCGCCAACTGGGCTAAAAATGACACGTGTGAAATTAAAAATAATTTAAAATATACCCCACCCCACATATACCCCTTCTACCTTTCACGAATGCGAGCTATCCCTCTTTCCCGAATTCGCTTTTAAGGTTCGCCACATCCTGGCGATTAAAGCTCCTTCCGGCGATTGAAGCTTCACCCGACGATTGAAGCTCCACCCGGCGACCGAAGATTCCGGCTTCACGAGTATGGTCGATCGAGTACCCAGTTTGACGAGCTCTGGCGATTGGCGTACCAGAATCACGACAAAAGCTATTTGCGATCCAGCCTGCCTTTTGTCTTAGGCGATTAGCTTCTTGGGTGATTCTCCTCACCGCCCAGGAATTCAATCGACGTCCCGCCATATCGAAGTGAGGTTCTTCTTCAACTTCCACAAACATCAACAGTCGTGGAGTGGTAGTTTGCAAGCACAAGGTGCCCTGTGTGGTCAATACCTCTGGTATGGACATGAACCCAGGCAGGCAGTTCTATGGGTACCCATATTGGATGGTAATGTAACCGGCATATGGTTTTATAGCTTTGTGGTTGCCATTGATGTGTGTGTTTGTTAAGTATATGCTTCTTATGGTGCAGAACGAGGAAAAAAACTGTGGTTTCTTTAGGTGGGTACATGGGATGGTCGATGAAGTGGAAGAACAACACTCTACAATTGGAAGTTCTCAGCTGAAGCTCGAAGAAAGATTGCGGGTAGCTGAGTCGAAAGCGGAAAGGAGGTAGAAGGAGAAGAAATTTTTGGTTGAAGAGTTGTCAAGTTGGATGAAGACTCAAGAAGTTATGGTAGTTGAAGGAAGGAGAGTGGCTAATGACGTCCGTCTCATCCGATATCAGTTGACAGTTGTTGTTGTACTGAACTTCTTATTGCTTGTTATTCTGTGCCAACACTAGTTTGTTATAGGGCTGACAAACGGTAATACGGTAACCGGTTTACCGTTTTTGACAAACGGTAATACGGTAACCGGTTTACCGTTTTACCGAACCGGTAACGGTCGGTAAACGGTAAACCGGTTACCGTCGGTATCGGTATTCGGTGGCGACGGTGAGGATCCAATTTACCGGATACGGGGTCGGTATTTACCGTCGGTAAATCGGTAAATACCGAATAAGGAAGGTGGAGCAGAAGTGGGCAAATATGAGAAAAACTAGTGAACCTACTACCACCAATTTGAATTACAAACAGAGGAACAGAAGCAAAAAGAAGAAGCAGGAGTAGTCCTATCTGGAACTACTTCAAAATAGTAGGGTATAAACAAAGACAACTTGAGGCGAGGAAACTGCGAGAATAACTATCTTATATGATCTTGAACATTCACATTACAGCTGAAATAGTAGGGAATAGATTCGAGAATGAAACAAACGAATGGGCAGAGGCAAAGTAATTACCAAACCCGTAGATCATAGGCTACTGATGATATCATAGGCTACTGATGGTGTTGCTATATCCAGCATAGTGTATTTTCTGCAGGTAATTCTCCATTCTTTAGAAGGATCCAATCACCAAATTTGTTCCCCCTTGCGGTAATTCGGTAAACCGGTTTGTAACCGGTTTACCGGTAATTCGGTAATCGGTAAACCGGTTACAAACTGGTATCGGTAACGGTAAACAGTTTTGGCCAGTTCGGTATACCGAAACCGGTAAATTCGGTAACCAATTTACCGTTTACCGACCGATTCCCACCCCTAGTTTGTTATGTAGAAGTAGTTGACGTTGTAGTAGGCTTGCTTCCAATTGAAATGTGAACGATGAATCTGTTATGAAATGTGAAAGATCGGTCTGTTATGTAGAAGTTATAGTTGCAAAGCAGCAATTGACCCGAAATTGAGATAGCAACGCACCAATTGACTTTACACGAATACTGACATAATATGCATATATGGCAGAAGCCTAATATTTTCATTACAAGCTAGTTGTTCATTACATAAGATATCAGAAGCCTATCAGAATAGACAACACATTGAAACCGCTGTTTGCTGATTGTGCATAATTACATAACATCCGATTACAAATGACTAACATAATTGGCCATTACATCTTCACAAAAAGAACTCTAGGGAGGTAGCTTAATGACCTATGACAAAAAAATGAAGTCGCATGCGTCTAAGGTTGCGTATTGGGGGGTTGTGTTCCATGCATCTCGATCTCAGTGGGTTGAGAGCCTCCTACTAGGCGTCCTTGCGCGCCATTGAGCTGAAATTATAACATGTTATAATCAAGAATGTGTGTAAACAAAAAGATAAGTAATAATCAGTATTGTGGAACCCGATACTTACTCTAACGTATTGGTTCCCAGTAGTCTCGTTAACGTATACTCCTATTCTGGTTGTGGCAACTCGCAATTCGCGTTCAATCGTTCTTCGGTCGCTCACATTCAGCCTAACATCCTATCAATTGCTAACATGGTATATACTTTAACGTTCAACATTCATCATTCAACATTCATGATTCAGCCCACATATATAACTTACTTGTATGCCAACACCTCAGTTCTAGGGTTTTCGCAACCAAAGGTAACGATAATTCTACCCAGAAGATTGAGCTATTCACCGTCAGATTTGGGGGCAAAGTCGTTGTGGAATTCAATCCAGTGGTCCGCTTATTCTTATGTCCTGTTGCTTTTGCTGTATTTACACCTCGCTACCAACCAAAAAAGGAAGTGAAAGACACTTCTATAAGAACTTTCCAGCCAAAATCAACACCCACAACTACCAAATTCAAAAGCGAGACTCACCAGTGGCTACAAACGAGGAAGCTCAGAAATCCCCCTTTTCTATATGATTAGGGTTTCTTCGAAACGACCTCCTCTCCTCGCGTTTCCAGGGTTCGATTGTGAGGTCTTTAGCGGAAAGGAAGCTAGGGAGGAGTCGGCCTAAGCTCGTCGCGAGTTGGTCAAGTCACCGGATGCATGTGGGTCTTCGTCGAGGAAGGGGGGCAAGAAGGGTAGTTCGATGATGGGAGGTGAATTGGGAATAGCAGAGGGGGGTAGATCGATGAAGGATGGAGGAAAATCAGGGGGTACGACGACCTTCGTCGGAGACAGATCGACCGTCGACGTTGGATGATTGTTCTTCGTCGCCTTCGTCTTCCTCCACAAGCGAAGGGTTAGGGGGTTTGTCGAGGAATAGAAGGAGAAGGGTAGAAAGCTAAGTCAAAAGAGGGGTGAGGTCAAATGAGTGGTTTTGAAATTTTAGTTGTTTATTTTGTAAATTAAATTAATCAGCAATCCACGTGAATAATTACAGAGGAATTTGGAAATAAGCGTTCGCCACGTAATCAACACCGTTTGTCCAGTCAGACCTTAATGTTAACACCTCTAAAGAATGTGACAGAATTGGTTATAAGTGGTATTTCATCAAATTTGGCTATTATTGGCACAACCGTGAAAATTTTGGCTATGCAAGTGTATAAACCTATTTTTTATACCTTACATGAATTTTATAGTTTCGATTAAAGAATTAGAGATTAGAATTCACCCGGAGGTTAGCTATAGTTTCATGTCCTTGACTTTATTTAATTTATAGACTAAATAGTAAACTTCAATAAGCATACGGTAAGGTTAGCGTAGCATGAATCATATATATAGTTATATTGTACCTATATATGTGTATATATGGTAAAGACTAGAGTATGTCTAGCTCAGGATATAAGCTTGTGTTCACGCTTATTGAATATATTTTGCCATATATATAATATATGGCTTGCGGTAAAATCATCGATAATTAATTTAGATTGAATAAATCTTATGGTTTGTGGTAGAGAACTAGGGACTAGGGTTCACACACATTAGAGGTTAGGTCATAATATCATATCTCAAATTCCGATGACTTCAGTGTAAATACTAATACTCGACGGGCCTAAGGTAGCGCTAGCTTAATCTCTAACGAGTGAACTCTATATCTAAGTACAAATAATAGGTGTGAATGTGCGAGTTTATTAGACCCCAGACATACGCTAGCCTTTGTAATAAATACAGTCTTCATTGTACATTCTACAAGTGTTATTGATTGTAACAAGGATATTCATGCGAATGATTACACACCATGGGCAATATACGGTTTGGTAGTCAACATGTGCAAAGTAATCGTGACAGCATGACATGACTGACCGTCTCACCCTAATCAAGGACACTCAATTTTCTTGATAAATATTCAAGCAATATATAATCAAACATGCCAATCACAATATAGAGTTCACAATCATCAATCTACAATATCATAGACTAGGGTTCACGTCATCCAAGTGAAAAGAGAATATACTTCATAACTAAAGAAAGAACTACAACTAAAGAGGAAGATAACCCTATGGAAAGATTATTTTCCTTCTTCCTAGTTGCTTGAACTGGTGTTGAAGATGCAATTTGGCCTCCTTTGGTCTCGGGTAGGTTAAATCCCTCTCCAATATCCTTAGGTTGCTTCTTTCTCTCTCTAGAATGTGGAAGAAGAAACCAATCTCACACTAAAATTGTTCTCCCTTTGAAATCTGATATCCTTATCTTTTTATAACCAGTAGTGTGCGTTTCACGGTTCATCTTCACGCCCCTGATTTGTGCAGTGAAACTGTGATCTCAACGCAAAATGCACTGTTTCACTTACACACTTCATGCCCTAAGTCGTGATCCTTACAATGCCCGTGAGACATTAGAAAGCTCTTGGAACTTTGCAAGCTTCATGGTTTGGCTACAATCTTCATGGTCTCCTGCGGGTGACATTAATCTCATATGAACCGTGATCCATGCGATTTTCAGCACTTTGTCCCATTTTCAATCACTTTCATCCGACTTTCGATCCTTTCGCCGATTTCACCTGCTATGGCCTGAAACATACTAAAACATTAATAAAATCTAGCATAAAATGGCTCCAATGACGATGCTATACAAGTCAAAAGAATGCATAGCAGAAACGATTGAAGACATACCAACAACGATTGAAGACATAGCTAAAAATATATCAATGTGTATCTCATCTTTTACATTATAAGCAATGTGATTTTTCTACATATAAATATTTGACATCAGAGTGGAACCAAGATATATATATATATTGATTGAACGATAGATCATTACATCTTGGAATGCAACCAGGCAATAAAATCAAAGGAACGACATGCCATCGGGTACAATGAAAGGGCCTTGCGACCCACCAAATAGGCTACCCTATTACTACGCTTACATACGAATCGAACACTGAACCCTATATGATCAGCCACACAACACAGAACCTCATGGAAAATGGCACCACCTTGGCTATTACGTTCTTGAGCTCGGTTGATTGCATCAATAACCACTTTGGCATTGCCTCAAACCTTACCTTCGAAAAAACCATTGTTCAACCACTATAGAATTGCTTCCTGGAGGGTAAGGAGTTCCAATATCATAGGATCATCTATCCTAGGGAAATGGACACCCTTAGCCAACAGGACAGTCCCCCTTGATCAAGAATAGTCAATCCCCCAGCCGAATGGGAACCACAGCTCGTCGCTTCATCCCACATGAAGACAATAGTACCAGGAGAGACTAAATTTGTGGTATCCGCCCCAGACTGGGGAGGCTGCAACACCCTTTCCACTGGCAAATTAATCCATTCAGTCAGTTGCTGATGGTATTGACACATCAGAGTTGTGATCCCAAACTGCTTGCCATCAAAGAACACCCAGTTGCGGGACCTTCATATTCGCCAAAGCACAACGAAAAGCGCCATAATATGATGCATGTGATGGATGAGAGATAGTAGCCTTTTGAGGAAAAGCGGGAATGTGTGATGAGGCAAGCCTTGGCCAATATGCTCTAGGCCAGTGTAGACACCACATTTTGTCCGGAGCAATAATGCTAATTATATATATATATAAAACTAATTGTGCATCACAATGATTTTTGGAAAGAAAGTTGAAATATTTTCAATGATTTTTGGAAAGAAAGTTGAAATATTTTGGTTGAGATTAGCAGTGGCTAGTCAATAAGTACCATTGACTCCAAGCTTCAGTCTTATTTAATTCTAATATAAAATTGATCAGGAGTGACGCTAATGATTCCTATACAATTCTAGATAAATTATTTAAGATTTGCAGTGGCAATTCGATGACCAAAGTTACCCATGTCTAGTTTTGATATTGACTCAATTGAATGAAAGTAATGGTAACTTTAATCTTATGGTTTGTTGGTCTACCGAGTAAAAGACTACTCAAGGTTTGCGTTTGGATTTGGATAGGACATTAGAGACGAACTCAATTGAATAAAGGAAATAGATGTTTTGTTTGCCAATTATACATCATAAAGGATTACATCTAGATGACCGTGATTAATATCCCATGAGATCTTAAATACAATTATTAAGATATGCAAAAATAAAACGAAATACAACTCCAACCAAATGAAAACCCAAACTAGGCTTGAAGCCCATCCCCTTGGCGCTCAAACCAGCCACAGACCTGCAAAAGAACCAAATTGAAACCAGTTCAAGCCCAGAGCTCGGCCCAACAAACATCCAGCCCAACTCGACCCGTTTTGAACCCAGGTGATTCCAGACAAGCCCACAAGTCTGCAAACCTGACTCGGCCCAACCTTATCCATCGGCCCAACAAGCACTGAATTGCGTGCCAACCCTATCTTGACCATGCAGAACCGACCAACTGTGTGGAGGCCTCACAATTTACCTCACAATTGGCCAATGAAGAGAAGACACGTTACAGTTCGTTTTGCTTTAAATGAGCTCCTTGAGCTCTTCGTTGAGGGGGACGATTCCAACAAAGAGAAACGGACAAATATTCAATAGAAACACTAGCATCCTGTTTTCATTTTCGATCCTTCTTTGGTACTAAGTTCAGTCCAGATATTTGAAGAGAAGCAAAAGGAGCTCATTCTTAGGCCAGAAGCTTCAACCAGGTTGGTGTTTATACCCAGATACCTTCTTAATAAGATCTCATTTCATTTTGTCAAATTTATAGTCAACCACCTTAATCTCAAAATCGT